ATGATGATGTGGATGAGGATGAGGATGAGGAGGAGGAGGAGGAAGGCAATCAAGGCAAATTGGGTTCAGGAGCAGGGCGGCCGCTGTTGTAAGCACGGGGCCAAGAATCTGGTCCTGTTCCCCCATTGTTCTCATCAACCATCTTCGTCATCGCCGCCATATCTATCTGACACTGTTGTAAACACGGGGCCGTCACGAGCTGACACGTGCCACTTCCAATGGCGGCCGCTGTTGTAAGCACGGGGCCGTCACGGATTTGGTGGACCCAAGTTAACTTTCAGCCACTAGCTGACACGTGTCACTTCCAATGGAGAAGAAAGATGACATGGTGAAAAAAAGATGAGATGACATGGCAAACGATGGCATGACGTGTCCGTGGAGTTGTGTGGTGTGTGTTGAGTTTGGACTCTACAGCCTTGCAAGGGTGGGGGGGGGGGAATATGAGGACCGGTAATGGAAAATGGTTCCATTTTCGAATACTATGTCCTGGCTGTAGTGGTCAACAGACTTGGCTCTTGAGGCCGAGGTCCTCGGTTCGAATCCGGAAGTGCGGATTTATATAACCAAACCCAATTGGCAATGAGAATTGGATCACGATTCTGCATCTGGATGTGTTTTAGGTGCAGATTCAGAAAAGCAGATCAATAGCGATCTCCTGCACCTGCCCAGGAGTTGAAAAGTGGTTTGATGTACTGTAGCAGTTATAGATAGTCTATTTTTAGCCACGGATACTTTCGTTTGTAGCAGTTATAGATAGTCTATTTTCAGCCACGGATACTTTCGTGTTACGGGATACGTGCTCAGTTGGAGCTGAGTATGCGAGCGAGAATTGCCAACGCGTTCGTGCTGTCCTGTGCAGCTGACTGTGGTGATGTGTTGAGTTTGGACACTACAGCCTTGCAGGGAGAGGGGGAAGGAGGGATATGAAGACCCCTATGGTTCCACTCTTGAACACAGTGTCCTGCCTGTAGTGGTTAACGGAGACCCTAATTTGAGGCCGAGAGGCCGAGTTCGAATCCGTCCAGTGCATGGAGGGCTCTTGAGGGCTGTACGGATCCATGACTGTACGGATCCATGACTTGGTTAAGAGACTTGGCTCTTGAGGGCTGTACGGATCCATGACTACTATGGCGAAGATGGCGGGGCTGAAGGAAGTTATTAGACATGGGGAAAAAAAAGGAGAGGCGGTTAAAGGAGACCCTAATTTTCAGACAACTTGTCAAGAAGCCATTTATAACAAAATCCAAGGGTCATTTTAACCAAACTTGCCGCCAAGTCAAAGAGTAGATACCATAGCTACTAACTGCAAAAAAAAAACCGAAAAAATAAAATAAAAAACCTATAAAACAGCAAGGCAAAAAAATGACCCTTGGATTTTTCCTCTGCTAAGATTTCTGAAATGACATGGCGAAAGATGACATGGCGATGTTATTGGCCGTAGAGAACTAAGATGGTGGTGACGGCGTAGAGAGCGACGAAGATGACTGCGTGGCTGAAGATCACACTTTTTCAAGTTTGGGGCCTGCAAACGAAATTATTGAATTACTTGAGGGGTCAAACTTGGAAATAGGAATTTCGGGTTCAGAAAATGCTACGCATTTCCTGCTCGTGTTTTCTTCTTTCTTTCTGTTTTTACCTTTCAATTCCACGGCTCCCCCCTCCCCCCCGCCTTATAGAGACTACACAGAGGAGAATTTTCAATAAAATTTTGCGCAGAGCCTCGGAGGGAAAATTGTGAGGAAGTAACCGTTCTTTACTTTGCCTTTTCTTTCTTTTTTTTTTTTTTTCGTTTCCATTTACTCGAACAATGCATCCATCCATCCATCAATCACTCAATCAATCTTTTTCCCTCTTCTTTCAATTGATATTTCTTCTTCTTCTTCTTCTTCTTCTTCTTCTTCTTCTTCTTCTTCTTCTTCTTCCTTCTCCTTCTTCTTCCTTCTCCTTCTATCCATCCGTCCATCCATCAATCAATCAAGCAATCTTTTTCCCTCTTCTTTCAATTAATGTTTCTTCTTCTTCTTCTTCTTCTTCTTCTTCTTCTTCTTCTTCTTCTTCTTCTTCTTCTTCTTCTTTCAGCGACTGTGTCCTTTCTCTTCTACTGCGCCATTGTGGTTTGTCACTTTCTCATTCTCCTCCTCCTCGTCCTTCAGTTCTTCTTCCTCCTCCTCCTCCTCCTACGGTTCCCATCTTCGTCTTTGGGGAATGTGTGCCTTCTGTGCAGACTTGGAATGCTTTACTACCGTCTTCACCCAAATACAACGTACGGTCATTATTGCTGTATCTAGACTCAAAGTTGCCCGAAATACATCTATAATAACCGTACGTTGTATTCGGGTGAAGACTCTAATGCGTGTGCAAGAGCAATTCGCCCGTCCACTGTCACTATTTCAAGTAATTTGACAAAGTGACCCTTCTGTGCAGGATTTGCCACCCTTGTGTCTTCTCTTTTCATGTGATTTATGATTCTTACATGTGATGGTGATCCTTGCACGAACCGTACTGAGTATACCTAAATTGTGTGTGTGTAGGGTCCAGGCGAAAGCAATCCATGGCTGGGCGAGAGAAAGGAAGAGGACGGGTAGAACGAGGGCGGCTGGAACGGCTTCCTGGGTCTGGAGGGCAGGGGCAGCGCGGCAGAGGGGGAGGACGAGGGCAGGGGCAGGGCGACCGCGAGCCGCAGCGGCAGGCTGGGAGAGGAGGATCTGCTGTGGGAAGGGGTCAAGGCAGAGGAAGGGGGAGAGGAGAGGCGAGGCCCGCCGCTGCTGACGACCGAAAACAGCACAGGTGGCGCCCTGGTACAGTAGCACTTAGAGAAATCAGATTTTACCAGAAAACTACCGGCTTGCTTGTTCCCAAGCTGCCGTTCGCCCGATTGGTAAGTTATTTCACCCTCCTCGTCTTAGCGGACGGATGAATCTGTCAGGAATCCTGACTAAGTTCTGACGGTGAATGTGATGTTCGCTGATGGAAGATACCACAGGCAACTTTCATGGTTGTGAGGGAAAAAACTAAGTAAGAGGCAACTTGCATGGTTGTGGGGGAAAAAAACTAAGTGGCTCTTTGTGCTACCGTCTTTGCCCAAATAGAACACCCGGTCCTTATAGCTGCATTTGGTGCGACTTTCAGCCTAGATGCAGCGATAAGGACCGGGCATTGTATGGGAAAAAAACTAAGTTAATTTGCATGGTTGTGGGGAAAAAACTAAGTGAATCTTTGTGCCACTGTCTACGCACAAATAGAACGCCCGGTCATTGTAGCTGCATTTGGTGCGACTTTCAGTCTAGATGCAGCGATAAGGACTGGGCGTTCTATTCAGGTGAAGACGGTAGTAATCTAGGTTGTATGCTGTGTGGTGCAGACAGAGGCTTATGAGGACAAGGAGATTGAGATGAGTAGGTGGAGGAGGAGGAGGAGGAGGAGGAGGAGGACAAGGTGTATCACATAATCTAGCCAAGTGCAGTTTATGGTCCTCCTAATGATGATGATGATGATGATGATGATGATGATGATGATGATGAGGAGGAGGAGGACAAGGTGTATCACAGAATCTAACCAAGTGCAGTTTATGGCCCTCCTGATGATGATGATGATGAGGAGGAGGAGGAAGATGATGATGGTTGTAGTGATGATGGTATTGAGAAAACAAAAAAAAACAAAAGCTGTTCACTCTTGTTATCAGATATAAAATCAGATATAAAAGTGTTCTGCTGCAAATAAGATAATCTTTTCAGTCTCGTTATCAGATATGAAGGTGTTCTGCTGCAGACAAATTTGCACAGGGGTTAACTCTGACAATGGAGACGACGATGCCGCTGCGGCCGCCGCCACTGCCGCCGATGATGATGATGATGATGATGGTGACGATGATGACGATGATGATGATGATGAGGGTGGGGGTGACAATGATGACGATGATGACGATGATGTTGTTGTTGTTGATGATGATGATGATGATGATGATGATGATGATGAGATGATGATGATGATGGTCGTATTGAGAAAACAAAACGGTTTTCACTTTAGTTAATCAGATAGGTAAGTGTTCTGGTGCAGATAGATTCTCACTCTGGTGAACTCTGATGATGATGATGATGATGATGATGATGATGATGATGATGATGATGGTGATGATAGTGATGATGATGATGATGATGATGGTGGTGGTGGTACTAAGAAAACAAGTCAGGAATTTGTGTTTGATCCTGTTGTCAGATATACAGGTGTTTTGCTGCAGACAAATGCTTACAGTGGTTAGCTTTCACATCATCTTTTCTTTTTCTTTTCTTTCTTTTCTTTTAAGCTGCTGCTGCGGACTTGAAAACCTAAACACTGACATATAATAGTGTTTGAAGATTCATTAACATATGTCGTGTTTAGGTCTTCATTGCTTTCGGCAGTTTAAGAGCAAGGTTGAAGCACACATCTTGGTGGCAATGAGAGAACATTCACCCGAATATAGCACACGGTCATCATTGCTCATTACCTAAGCTCGGTGGCACTGAGAGAGCATTCACCTGAAATAAAGCACACGGTCATCATTGCTGTATTTGGGGCAACATTTTCACCGTACAAACAGCGATAATGACCATGGGTGCTATTCGGGTGAGGACTGTAGAGTACACTATTCACTCACCTAGATGTTCACTTTGGTGAGACGAATAACCAGAGGCAAAACAGCTCGGTGTGTCTAGTTTTAGTCTTAGGATTTCACACTTTGGGTTTATATATATGTCCATAATGATGTAATGCAAGCCTTTGGTTCTGTTTTTTTATTTATTTATTGATTGAAGTGTAGCCTGTCCGCGCTACACTCCAGTCTTAGGATTTCACACTTTATGGGTTTGATGTTTTACTTTCCTTGAATCAAAGCCCTTCTTTGAATGCAGGTGCAAATCTTTGGTTGCCTGGTGGGTTAGATGCTATTAATAATGGTAATAACCGCATCCCACATCTCACTGGCGGCACTGTACATGGAGCTGCCCGTGACCGCTACATGTCCATGCCCCTGACCACTGGAGGTTGTGGGACAATGGCACCATGGTCATTGGCATGATTGATGTTGGCGAGTTCTTATACAACGATGCTGTCTTACATGCCACCACCCACACACTCTTCTATGTCAAAGATCTCACTTCTATGCCCCACCTGTGCTGCAGCAGGGCAATCTGTAAGCGCTCGGCGATGTTCCCCTTTGGACAGGTACTGACACTGTTGCACTCGTATGCAGGCGTCAGTGTCTCTGGCACAATCACTACAATATCATGGTTGCTCCATGCATGCGTGCGGAGGGAGGGCTGTCCCTCCTTTCAGTGGCTGCAGGCACCCTCCACGTCTGGACATCAAATGTCCATTTTGCGGACGTGGTCATGATACTCCATGCATGTCCCTCTGTGATGCCCGTTCTTCCTTTGTGCTGGCCTCCAGCCGACATGGAATTTGTTGGGACTGTTTTGTGGGCATACTTCTTTAAGTTTTTTTCTTCTTTTTCCTTTTTTTTTGTTGAAAAGGTCGACAGCCTTGAGATATTATCATCGCATCAAACTGACCGGCCCTAGATACTTCAGAATTGTAGTACTTCACTCATCTGCTTCACACACTCGGGTCTGTATTTCAACAGTTTGTGAGGTGTACGAACTGAGCTAGGCCAGTTGGTGTTTTGTAGGCATGCTTCATGCCAGCTGTTGTGGCATTTGCTGTGATAAAAAAATAGAATGTTCAGCTAGGTTCTCGGTGTCATCATCCGCCTCACCCTTACAGTGCATGTCCTCGCTGTCATCGAGGAAAGACCGACTCCTGAGCCTTCTCTTATCCTTTCCTATGCTTCCATCTTCATTCCACACTCCTCACTTTCCCTTTGTCTTGTTTCTGTCTTTTCTCTCTCTTGATCTGTGACATCCCCTCTCCCTTTCTCGAGGTGCAACATCCCCTTTCCCTTACCCTGTCTCTTTTTCGCAGCATACAAGTGCGGGCAGCTCGACACTGCAGCAGGGGCAGAGCTGCGCCCTCCAACCTCTGCTCCTAAACCCTTATCGAGCTGCGACATTCCCTTTCCATTATGGCACCGGGGGATGCGGGCGGCTCGAGCACAACTTGATCAACGAAGTGAGGCTTGTCCGCTCTGGACTGCAGATCAATTTTAGATCTGGACGACCTCGAATGGAGGCTGCTAGGTTTAGGGTTTAGGGTTTAGGGTTTAGGAGCAGAGGTTGGAGGGCTCTATCCACACAAAAAACACCTAAGGTGTGAGCTGCGCCAGAGGCAGATGTTGCATGCTGCGCCTGCACACAAGGGCCATTTTTCAGGCCCTGCGTCGTTCAGGCTGGAAGCCTGAATTTCAGCCCGAAAGCCTGAAATCCGGGGCCCACAGGCCCTGCGTCGTTTCAGCCTAAAAAAGGCCTGAGCCTTTTCAGCCTGAAACTGAGGGCTACTTCCGGACCTACAGGCCCCATGACGGTTCAGCCTGAAAGCCTGACATCCGGGGCCCACAGGCCCTGTATCGTTTTAGCGTAAAAAGGCCTGAGCCTTTTCAGCCTGAAACTGAGGGCTATTTCCGGGCCTACAGGCCCCATGACGGTTCAGCCCGAAAGCCTGACATCCGGGGCCCACAGGCCCAGTATCGTTTCAGCCTAAAAAAGGCCTGAGCCTTTTCAGCTTGAAACTGAGGGCTATTCTCGGGCCCTCGTCAGACCGACCTGCCCTGAAACAAGCACGTTCGGGCATTGGCAGGAGCGACCTGCCCTGAAGCTTCCCCAGGGGCTAGCACGTTCAGGCATTGGCAAGAGCAGCCTCCTGGACGGGCCAGCACTATATAAGACTGGCCTGCCCTACAGGTAGGGACAGAGGGAGACTGCCCAGGCACTCGACGTGCACTTCTACAGGCAGGGAGTAGTCTTCAGCATTCAGCAGAAGCACTCTGGAGGAGCGCTGCAGTAGTAGTAGTAGCGTTAGCTATAGTCTTCAGCGCTGGGCGCTAGTATGAGGTAGAGTAGCGTTGGAGGGAGAGAGAGATTGGGCAGAGGCCAGGGAGACTTACCTGCAACGCCATAGCTCCAGCTCGCCATCGAGGTACCTGCAGCACAGCGCCATCATCACAGGTTAGTACCTGGCAC